ACCTAGGCACTGCATTATCTGCCCTACACTTGCTCGCGACTCTTTTCCACAGAAATGTTTTTTGAAAAAGAATAGGAAATTTATGGCAGATATTTGACAGTTACAACTAGACATGATATTGTACTTGCCCCGACCGTCTATCCCTTTTCCTGGACCAATGCACTTCCGAACTGATAGCAGTACTGCAAATCTTTTTGTAGGTCTTCAATTATATCGGCGTGAACAAAACCATGAATCAACTAGCGGCTACGCTTTCACGCTCCACTAAGGACATCGGCGGCTTTGCAGTGATGTTTGCGGTGTTCTTCTTCGCCTACGCTCAATTCGGATACCTTGTCTTTGGCACCCAGGTCACGCTTTGCTTTCCAATTTTTATTATTTTATAACCACATGAAAAGTCACAATGTGTTTTTCGTACCAAATATCCTGCTTGAACAGATTTCTGACTACTCCACTTTCTACGACGCCGTTTTCGCTCTTCTTCGCACTATCCTGGGAGACTTCAACTTTAGCGCTTTGGAGAGGACAAATCGCATTCTTGGACCAATCTTCTTCATTACCTACGTGTTCTTCGTATTCTTCGTTTTGCTGGTATGCTCAATCGGCAAAAATTCCTTTTTAACAGCTTTTTCTAGAACATGTTCCTTGCCATCATCAATGATTCCTATGTAGAGGTAAAAGCTGAACTTGCTAGACAACAAGCCGGTGAAGGGATTTTTGACTGGATAAGGAAGGTAAGTTTTCATTTCCAGCAGGAATTACCATCATTTTCGAGAAGTTTGGAATTTGTTAGGTTATTTCTAGAAACTTACCGCTCGCAAAGTTCCCGAAAGAAAAGTAGCCACCTACAATGACTACAAAATCGACTTGATGATGTAAGCTTTTCACTAAAAAATGATATAGAAGGATTTCAGTGTTTAGGGCCGGCTATCAAGAAAAAGATATCAATGCAGCTTTCGAGAAACTCAACATCAGCTTCACGGACAAAGTCGATGATAATGTAAAGTTGCAGGAAAAACGAACGCATAAGCAAATGATGCATATTATTGGCGAATTTTTAGGCCCTGATCGAAGTCGGAAATGAAATTTCTGAGCAGACTAAACGAAAGAAAATCATCGATGAGGACTATCGCTCAACTGCAGTGTAACCCAGCA